GGTTTAACCTCAGGCTTTTCCACCGACACCCTAGTTCCCAAAATAATGACCCCGAGACTTAGTGTTTATGAATACATACCTAGGCCACGAGCTTTGGCTCATCCTTGACTACCTGATACCTTAATTGATCATTATTCTATGAGTGCCACATGGCTGCTTACCTCACCTCAGCTTCATACATGTTGTCTCAGAGTTCGGGGTGAGTCTCTTCCCGAGTCTGACTATCCCAGAGTTCCTCTCTCCCTACTGGAACTTCCACTCCCTATTAGCGGAGGCAGGAAATAGGCTGTTAGCTTTCTACTGATAGGTGACACTTCCACACAGTACATAAAAGATTCTCTCCAAGAAGGAACAGGTTCCTTCTGCAGGTTGCACTGGGAAGAAACTGGCAGGAAGAGCTAATTAGAAGGGGAGCGGTGCTGGGGAGATGGCTCAGTGGGTAAAAGGCACAGGCTGCACAACCTCATGACCTGAGTTCCATCCCTGATACCCATATAAAGGAGGAAGGGGAGAACTAACTGCACTTCAGCACTCACAGCACGCCACACGGGTGCACATATTATGTGTACATGTGCACAGCACAAGTACACACACACTAACATTTATAAAAAAGAATGTCAAGTCCTTAGAGGAGCTTGATATTATGGGATGCCATCTGAGAACATGGTTGGGAAGTAAAGAAAAACCACTGTCATAGGCAGTAGTGCAAAGAGATCATAACAAGAAGTAAATACACACTCAGGCATACATGCATGCGCACACACTAACATTTATAAAAAAGAAGGTAAGATAGTGATTGAGAAAGACCCAGGAGATTGTCTGAGCTTCACATGGTAGTCTAAAGGCACATGTACATACACGGTTGTCTATACACACAAAAGCAGTCTGGAAAGCTAAGGTGAGAATGGCATAGCCTCAGGGTGGGAGACCAAAAAGGCTAGGGGTATACCTCATAGTAAAGTGCTTCGCTGCTGTGCACAAGGCCATGGGTTCAAACCCTAGTACAGCAAGAGGGGGAAATCTATTTTAAACTTGCTTTGGGTCTTTTAAGACAGGGTTTCTCTGTATAGCCTTGGCTGTTCTGCAACTGACTCTGTAGACCATGGTGGCCTCAAACTTAGAGATCCACCTGCCTTTGCCTCCTGCATGCTGAGATTAAGGTGTGTGCCACCGTGGCCAGCTAAATTCAAGAGAGGCCAGTTTAGGAGATGTAAGCAGCCAGGCAGTGGTGGCGCACACCTTTAATCTCAGCACTTGGGAGGCAGAGGCAGGCAGATTTCTGAGTTCGAGGCCAGCCTGGTTTACAGAGTGAGTTCCAGGACAGCCAAGGCTACACAGAGAAACCCAGTCTCAAGAAAAGACCCTATCTCAAAGGAGATGTCAGCAATGACAGCTACTTAAGGGGCTCCAGTGCCTGAGAGTGGAACTCTACCTTGCCTTGAATATGTTAACCCTGCAAATGAACTCAACATTGGCCCCAAGACTAGAGAAAGCCTGTGCCTTGCTCTGGGTGGAGGTTGACAGAGTTGAGATGCTAGCCTGGGTGCTAAGGGGCCATGCTGTGCCTAATCCATGAGGAAGCTGGGTTCTCCAGCTTGCCTTGAGCTGCCGCGTCCTTAGAGGATCTTGATATTATGGGATGCCATCTGAGAGCACAGGGGTAGGAAGTGAAGAAAAACCACTATCAATAGGCAATAGTGCAAAGAGACCATAACAAGAAGCAAATGCACACTCAGGAATACATGCTCACTCCATAGCACCTGTGGTGACTAGAGGCCAGTTTGTGAGAGTCAGTTCTGTCTTTCCACCGTGTAGGTCCTGGGGACCAAACCCAGGTCTTCAAGCTTGGCAGTGAGCGCTTTTAACTGCTGAGTCATTTTGCTGGAGTATCCCTGTGGCATTTTAATCAGAGGCCAACATTTTTTAATGGCGCCCCAAGAATGCAAGACACAGCTGTATATGGTTTTGTTAGGTGTTTATCCCTGAGGTACTACCCATCGCCAGATGCCAATTAGCGATAACCCATCCACACTGGCTGAGGGCAAAGGCAAAGACGATGTGCTTCATGGGAGAGAGGGCCAACAGTTCCACCTTCACCGTTGGTGACAAGCACACTCCGCTGAGCACTGTTGGTGGCTGGTGGCCTCGGTAACTGTCCCAATCACAAGCCTCATGACTTTCACTTAATCCTCAAGTTTCTCCACGCATGTTTTATGACTGTCCTTACCTGTGTTCTCGTCTTCTCTTGGGTCAAATCAGAGGCTGATGATTGGATGTTTAAATCCAGAGTCCAGGGCTCCCTGTCTAGATGCAAACAAAGGTGTCAGTGTGTCCTGACCATCCAAGCTGAGGTGTGACTGACTGATCTAGAGCCTGCCTGTGTCCTGTGATCTATTTTAGGTCTTTCTTTTTGACAGCCGTTCCTTCATCATCTCGGCCCCACATACCAAGTGCAAACCCACAGTTCATATCCTGTGGCAGGCACGGCTCACATTAGGCAGGACATGCAAATGAGTTTCAATCAAAAGAGAGGGGAAATTAAATTTTTCACTGCATAGCTTCCCCGATTGGCCTTAGAAGCCGCTATTGCCCTTGGCATGCTGGTATTTCATGTGGGCAGGGTGAAACTGATTGTGGTCAGGGTGAGATTTTAAGCTTTTGATTTTTTTCCCCTTATTTTGAAGGGGTTAAAAAGTTGGTATGTATTTTTGGTGTGATGTCAGTATTGGTGTTAATTTTTGTCACATGCATGTGATTGAGGGTCAAAAGAGTGCCAAGTCACTGTTACTAGATCCCTCTAGTAGAAGATACTGCAGAGCATCTTCTGACTGGCAAGTTTGATGGCATGGAGTTTGGTTGGTTTTTCTCCTCTCACTTCCTTCCCTTTTAATAACAGCATTAATTAAGATTGAGATTTGTTCATATTGCTTTTGTGTATATGAGAGCATTGACTGCATTGCATGCATGTCTGTGTTCTGCACAGAAAAGGGTGTCAGATGCCCAAGAACTGGAGTTACAGATGGTTGTGAGTCACCACGTGGGTGCTGGGACTTGAACCCGGGTCTTCTGGAAGAACAGTCAGTGCTTATAACCACTGAGTTGTCTCTCCAGCCCCGTATGTATGTATGTATGTATTTGTGTATGTATGTATGTATGTATGTATGTATGTATGTATGTATGTATTGAAAAATGAAGATTTCTTTCTTTACTTTTGGGGGGAGGTGGAGAACACAGAATTGAGGCAAAAATCTCCATTTATTCAGGTTGCTCATTACTGACATTCTTTTTTTTTTTTTAATATTTATTTAGTTTTTCAAGACAGGGTTTCTCTGTGTAACCCTGGCTGTCCTGGTACTCACTCTGTAGACCAGGCTAGCTTCGAACCTAGAGATCCACCTGCCTCTGCTTCCCAAATACTAGGATTAAAGGCACGTGCCACCACCACATGGCTATTTTTTTCTTGTAAATTATGTGTAGATGTCTGTGTCTGCCCATGGATACATGCATATGAGTTCAGTGCCCGCAGAAGCCAGAGATGTCAGATCTGCTAGTGTTACAGACAATTGTGAGCCAGTATGTGGCTGCCTGGAAACGAGCCAGGCCCTTCGCTGTCCTGGAGCTCAGTATATAGACCAAGCTGGCCCCAGACTCACAGAGGTATACCTGCCTGTGTTCCTCTTACTCCTGCTCTTTAAACAGTCCCCCTGCCCTGTCTTACTTGCTGTCTTAGTTACTGCTCTTAATGTGATAAGACTCCATGACCCAAGCAGCTTATAAAAGAAAGTGTTTAACTTGGGGCTTTAGGTTTCTAGGGGTTAGAGTCCACGATGGCAGAACAGAGGCACAGTCAACTGAGTGCTTGTGTCTTGGTCTGAAAGCTGGAGGCAGAGAGAGCACATTGGGAATAGCCTGGGCTTTTGGAAACCTCACAGCCTGCCTCAGTGACACACCTCCTTTGAGAGGCCACACCTCCTAATCCTTCCCAAACAGTTCTACCAATTGGGGACTCAGTGTTCAAACCTATGAGCCTATGGGGGCCATTTTGTAGCTAAGGTTTGTAGTTCTACTTACTATGTTAGCAGCTTTAAACACTTAACTCTCTTGATTTTCTTTAATATGTTTATGATGACCGTGTGTACACATGACACATGTGGAAGTAGAGCACATCTTCGTCGAGCTGGTTTTCTCCCTCCACTTTTCCTGGGGATTGTAGGTAAGTGCTACCAATTCCTGTCCTTTAAAGAAATTATTTTTAAACTTCTGGTTCTTCTTTCACCAGCCACAGGGTCTGTTGCCTCAGTAACCCCTCCCCATGGAAGGTGGGGTGTGGTACCATGCCTCTGTTCTCTGTTTTATTTACTTAGTGTGTGTGTGTGCATACCCCCTCATTTGTGTGTGTATGAGAGAGAGAGACAAAGACAGAGACAGAGAAACAAAAAGATGTATGTGTGATAGGGAGTTTGGGAGGAGGTATCAGAGGACAATTCTCTTCTACCTCTAGATTCATCTCCCTGGCCTTTCAACTCCTATTTTGTTTTTATGTGTGTGGGTGTCTTGCCGGCATCCATGTGGTCTCTGTGTACCTCCACAGGAGGCCAGATGAGAGCATTAGCTCCCCCTGGAACTTCAATTATTGTTTTAAGCTGCCATGTGGGTGCTGGGAATTGAACCTGGGTCCTCTGGAAGAGCAAGTACTCCTAACTGCTGAGCTGTCTTCCCAGCCCGCTTCTATCCCTAATGATCTTATGCATTGGGTTCTCGAGGAGAGTGGGAACTCCTTGAAAGGAAACCAGCTCTCTCTTATACCCACATCACTGTAGCCATGGCAGATTAAAATACTTTTGCTAACAATATAAGCTATGCCATTATTGCCAAATGAAGTGTCATTAGTTATCATTTCTGTTACATTATACAAATATTTTATTTTATGAGTTATAAATATATATATAAATATTAAAAAAATAAAACCATTAAAAACTCATAAGTTAAGGCACAGAGGTTCAATACTGCCAGTTTTTCTTTCGCATGATGCTTCTTAGGCTTTCCAGGAAGTCTTTCAGTGTTGTGAGCGTGGACTCATTCACGGTGCAGCTTTTCTATAAAAGAAACATTTCATTATGTGAATATATATTTGGGTCTCACTCTCAGGCCTTGATCAAGCCGACTATGGTAGCCTCCAAAACACGTTCAAACCAGGGCTTCCAGACTGTCTAGGCCCTGAGTTTGGCTGTCATGAGACCAGCAAATTCTGACCTGCTTTTTTAGCATGTGCTAGGATCACTACTGGTCTGCCATCAGGATGCCACAGTCTCTGGAGGGGCTGTCATATGGACAGAGGCGACCAGAGAGAGTAACAGAATGTGTAGGCTCAGACCTGGCTTTGTTGCCACTGGGCCTGTGAAGCAAGATGATAGTCTTACTGCCCTTCTGCCCAGGAAGCAGACGCCTTTCAGAGTGGGGGCATTATACATAACAAGCAACCTAGGAAGCGCCCTTCATGCTCATGCTGTGGTTTGGGTCTCAGCTCCTCCAGCCATTCATTGAATAGATTAGACCAGTCACCTTACTTACAAAAACATTAGGCTTCAGTCCCTTCCCCTTGGGGACAACTGTGGGGTGGTATGTAGTGCTGGCATCAATGATTATCCAAGTCTGGGTAAGCCACTGCCTTTACTATCCTGGCTAAATTAGGATGGCCCTCCATTAGGCCATCTTGTTCTCTCCTTATCTGCATGCAGCCCCTCCACCCAGGGGCCAGTGTGAACTAATATGACTTGGTGTACAGCATGAGCTCCACCCTGTAGGTAACTAGGCGTTTCCCTCCCCTATATCCCTAGAACAGCATCCAAAGGCTCCTGTGAACCCAGCTGCTAAACCTACTCTCTTGACTCTGGTCCAGCCACACTGGAGTGCATACCATCCCGTCTGGGCTTTTGTCTGGTAGTCAGTCATCTGGCCTGCCTCCTTACTTCATCCAGATATCTGCTCTGCCATCTACTCTTTCATGCCCGTGCCTTTCCTCACAGCACGAGCACGACTGGGCATTGTATTGCTGTTCATCTCTTCTAACTGCTCCCCTAGAACATTCCATGAGAGCAGGAGCTCTTGTCTACTGGTCTTCACTGTTGCTCTCCCTGTGCCAAGTCACTTGCAAGCCCTGGCCCTGCCCCGCTTACCGGCGGATTCAGGCTGCTGATGGCTCTAAAGAGTTTCTTCAGTTCAGTGACAACACTATAGTTGTTCTTCAAGCACGGAAATATCTCAGGTTGGGGATAAAATTTGCCAAGCACCTTGTGAGCCCTGCAGATGAGCTCGTTGTCCGTGGTGTTCTGCAAAGAGAAATGATACAGAAGGTCTGTCGGCTGCTTGGTTTCGAACTTGCCTGAGAGGTTTTTCTGCCCTGAATGTGGACCTGTTCAACTTTGAATCTGTATGAAAGTATTTCTGAAAATCCTCTCAGGTTTCATTCCATGGAGATTTAATTGAAAATCTTGAAGTCAGTAAGGTCACACCTCTAAGTAAATGGCAGAGTGGGGGACACTTCCCCCACTCCGGGTAGATGGTAGAGTGGGGAGCCCCTGTCTGCATCCCCAGTCTTCATCTTTCTACCCGGTGGGCTTTTCTTTTAGCTCAAGGTGCTCACATGAGCTCTTAGGCTGATATGGCATTTGTTCCTGCATGGTCCTGGAGCCTCTCCATGTTTGCTGATGGCTGACTACCTGCTGAAGGCATGTGGCTCTACCCAAGGGAGAGAGGAGTGTCTGAAGACACTCATAGTCCAATGAAGGATTAAGGCATGTCCCCAAGAAAGCCAGAGATAGAAGCCCAGTGTGGGCAAAGTGCCAGGAGCCTGGTCTAGGTGGTCAGAAAAGGCTTCTGGGAGAAGGCACCATTGACTTGGGCCTAAGCCTTTGCCTGTCATTGGTAGAGACAAGAGGCTCTTCCTGTGGACTCAGATCTCAGAAGACAGAATGCCCCAGCAGAGAACCTGGGAGAGAGCTCATCTCTGTCTCTCCGAGCCTCATGTTTCCTCTGGCCTCCCCCCTGGAACACACCAACAGATCATGGAGAGTGTCTGAGTGTGAGCCAGTCTCTGTATCCCACGGAGAAGCTGCCTCTAGCCCATGCATGACCTTGGCTACTCAGCTGCCTGCAGACCGGGAGCTTCTTAGCAACTCTGATGGCTCACCCTGGGCCCACTGAGCCAGGATGTGTGGTGGTGAAACCTGGGGGAGCTGTCAAGGCCCAAGCAGCTTCTAAACTGTTTCACTTTTCACAATTGCCTTTTTCCTTTTTTTCTTTTTGGTTTCTGACTATTAAGGTTTATTTAACAAAAATGAATTCACTTATCCCATCAGCCAGAGATAAATAACTCTTACACTGCTAATGTTTGGGTAAATATCAGAACTAGGGGTGAGCTCAGTGGTAGAGCACTTGCTTAGCACGTGTGAGAGACTGGGTTCAATACAGCAAAACAAACAAACGTAAAAACCAAACCAACCAAAACAAAACAACCCTCTCCACCATCTCGTCTCCACCAGCCTCGTTGGGGCTCATGAAAATTTAGTCCTTCTAAATCGCTAATTGGACCCCAGTCTAATCAGCCAGTGCTCCAGGTGAGCCACTCTGTTAAAAATAACCAGGTGGGGCTGGAGGAGATGGTTCAGTGGCCAGAGTGCTTGCCTTGCAACTGTGAAGACCTGAGTTCAATTCTTAGAACCTGCTTGTTTGTTTTTTTTTAAACAGCTGGATGTGATTGTGTACCTTAGAGATCCCAGTACCAGAGAGGCAGAGAGACAGGAGGCTCACTGGGCACATACATGTGCACTCATGTATTCATGTATATGTATGCATGTGAACAAGCACAGATGCATGAACATACACAGAGAGAGGGGGGGGGAGAGAGCATCTCAAGAGCTTCAGTCTTAAACACTCTTTTTAAAATTGGAAATAACCCAGCAGCTGATGGGACACCCAGAACAGCCACCTTGGTGCTTGCCACTTGCTTTTCCTGGGGTGACCATCAGCACCCTGGCCGGCCGGCGTTGCCTGAACCCTGGCCAGCATTGCCTGTGATGCCCAGGATTTACCTCAGCATACTTTTTCTAACACCAACTTTGTTACCCAACCTGGAGATGCCTCGAGTTTTGATCCACAAAGAGTTAAAGTAAAGGTACTAGATTTCGGAAAGGTAGTCTTTTGGGAACCCCAAAGAAGTAGTCCCCCTCATATCACTATTGAGGGGTGTGAAGAATAATAAGTCATGCTGTGAAGGTGAGCAAAGTGTTTGGGAGACAGGCAGAATGGGAGGAGCGAAAAACCAATGACCCAGGAGGCACCGAAGCAGCTGGGGGAAGGACCACGAAACAGGCGGGTGTGAAGGAAGCCAGGGAAGGCTCGTTTTCAAGCACATGTAAGTGTTGGGGCAGAGTGAGTAAGAGGGAAGCTAGCCTGAGAGCCAAGGGGTGGGGTGGGTGAATGTGGTCTTCCAGACCCAGACTCGGAGCCATGTAGGCTTGACTGGCTGAGGGCCCTTCCTTAGACTCATCGCCCCTCTGCAGCCAGGCTGTGCCCTTGGTCCGAGTCCTAGAGCCATCCACAAACACTTTCAGTTAAACTCTCACAACTGCCCTCCAACCAGCCCTCATATGATCTTCGGAATCATCCTTTGTATCTCCTAATGTGGACACCAAGCCTCCAAGGTTTGTGAAGACCTACCAAAGGCCATTCGGTTAGTGAATGGCAGAATTGCAGGCAAAACCAAAGGCGCTCATGCCCCAGGCTCCACAATTCCTCTAGGCCCAGTCCCCAAGAGCTGGTCCTTGCCCTGGCTTTTGCTAGGGCAGGACAGTAGACTTAGCTTCTGGTAGCAAACATCTGAGTTAGAAGAACTCAGAATCGGTAAATACTTAAGGTTATATATATAGAAAACAGTGAAAAAAAATATATATATACATATATATATTGATACATAGAAAGATATAGACATATGTAGACATATATTTGCACATGAATGTACGCATATATACATACATGTACATTTGTCCTTCAGAAACTCATCCTGCATCAGACTCCTGGAGTAATCTTGAATAAAATGAAATCATCTAGATAAATCCCGGAGGACAGATCTCTGGTGAAGCAGGATGAACCCCATCCATGGCTTGGGTGCGGGGCTGTGACCTCAGCCACCCCACAGGGCTTCGTTCCTGACCTCACCCTCGTCCGGAGCATGTGGAAAGCAGACAGTCTGGAGACCACTGGTAAGTCAAGGCTTTGGGGCCTTTCATTCTCAGTTGTGTGTTTCCATGAAAACAGGAACTAAGTGTACAGAGCTATTGATACAGCGTAGCCAGTCATGTGTTTGTCAGAGAAAATGCACTATCAGCTGTCACATCTGTTCCCTCCCACTACAGATGGAGGGGCGGGGGCGAGGCAGAGCAGGAGGCAGAAAGGAAAGAGAGATGCTCAAAAAGAAGCAGGGATGGCCAGACTCCCGCTAGAGGACACTTCTAAACTAGGCTGAACGGGACTGGGGTGGGACAGAGGGCGCTGAGAAGCAGTGCAGCGGGCTACCATCCCAGCTGGCTGTTAGGTGACCAGAAAGAAGAGACCTGTAGGGACCATAGGAAGTCTCTTAGTCAAAGCAAAAAGCCTTCTCAACCTGTAATCTTCATATCTGTTTTTCAGAGAGTTTTTGGTTTTTCAGAAATGCATGACCTGGGGTGGGGGGGAGAATTTTCTCACTCAACAGCACAAATTGTGTGTCTCCTATGATCTAGATACCGTGTCAAGGCCAGGTAGGACTCTAGATATCTATCTGTACCCTATCTGAGTTACAACAAATAAATCCTGGCTTTCTCTGGCAGGTCTTCTAAGTCTAGTGAAATCTGAAACTGTAAAACACACTGGAGAGTAACTCAGCCTCCACAAAGTACAAAAACACCTCCTTTGGGCCTCTTAGTTTTCTATCACAGACATTTCTCATTCAGACACTTGTGTGTGACCTTGCCTTCCCACCTCCGGAATATGTCAAAGCAGACCCTACAGGTCCACTTACCTTCCTTGCTGTAAAGACGTCTGGTACAAGCATCTCGGTGCATGGCGTCTTGATACAGACAGGGGTAAGAGCAAAAGGTAAACGTTAGTCCAAGCAGGACAGAGAAAGCATTGCTACACCTCTTATCCCCCACCCCGGGAAGACTCCCTCTGCCTCTGAGGTGGCAATAGCAGGTGTCTGGAAGCCTAGCTTTGTCCCTAGTCCTGTCATCCACCTGTCTAGTAACTCGGCTCTCTGAGCCTAGAACCGCTTGCAGTGTCACCTGAGTCGATGGGGAGATGGTGTCAGATAGGGTAACTCACCCCTTTTTTTGTGACCTGGTTCAAACTATTGATGATCTCTTCCAAACGGCTGCCTTTGTGTCTGTGGATAGGGTTCCCGGTACAGGCGAGAAGGCAGAGCAGGATGACGGCAAGCTGGGGGCTGAGACCCATCAATAGCTCTGTACCGTCGGTGATGTGAGACAATTACGTTTATCAAGAGATGCTAACAATGCAATGCCGGCAGAGATATCTCTATATATAGAGTTAAAGTTGCTGAAACCAAGGGAAAATGAGTTTACATTGGAAATTTTTATTACACCAGATTGTCAGTTACTTCGGGCCAATCAGCACCTCTCTTCCAGGAGAAAAAAGAGAAACAGGTAAATTTTCCTGTGAAATCAGACCAATTGGAAAATGAAACCCTTTTTTTAAAAAAAAAAAATCTACAAAGTTTCAGCATAGGAAATTACACCATAATCGGCCTTGCAGATTAATCTTATCAGCATAGGGTTGCCACTGGCTCTGCTTCTACAGAGAAGGAAGAGGTCACAGGTGTCCGAGGGTGCTGGTGTCGTCCTGGGGAAAGACAGAGTAATATCAAGAAAGTCTGCCTTGCACAGCATCTGGGCCTAGCTGCTTCCTGCTATGGGGGCACCTTGGAAACTCTGATATCTTGGGAAAGCTGACTCTGGGTTCTTTCCTCATAGGAGGATGATGGAGGCAGACCTCCTAGCATCCTAGCCTAGCTGTTCTTACAAGTTTGAAGTCTTTGGAGACAGAGGGATGACATCGAGTGGGGCAGGCAGGACCAGGAAATGAGACCTTTACCTATAAGGAGGTGAAGGACTATCCCAACCAAGGCAGAAGCCTGCGAAATGGCTGATCAAAAAGAAAAAGTTTAAAAATGACTTTGTTTCATGTGAGTGTGTGTGTATCTGTGCACAGCACAGCATCAGTAGCATGTGTGTGTATCTGTGCACAGCACCACATCACTGTGGAGGTTAGAGGACAACTTGTAGGAGTCAGGTCTCTCCTTGCACCATGTGGATCCTGGGGATTGAGCTCAGATTCGTAAGCTTTGGAGGCAAGTACCTTTCCTCCCTGAGCCATCTCACTGGCCCAAGAATGGCTGGCTGCTTTTTTTTTTTTTTTAAAGATTTATTTTATTTATATGAGCACACTGTAGCTGTCTTCAGACACACCAGAAGAGGGCGTCAGATCCCATTACAGATGGTTGTGAGCCACCATGTGGTTGCTGGGAATTGAACTCAGGACCTATGGAAGAGCAGTCAGTGCTCTTAACCCCTGAGCCATCTCTCCAGCCCGGCTGGCTGCTTTTTAAATGAACTTAAAACACATCCTCCGCTAATCAGGAAACAGAGCCATCGCTCACCAATTAGTTCCCCAGCTGTTCTCAATCGGCACCCTGCCACCAGCCCACCTTCTTAATCGAACGCATGTCTCCCGCCAGCAGTGACCACCCTGTCCCTGCCATCTGCCTGGAAATGAAGGGCTTTTTTACAGTGACCCCTTCATTTTCCTCAGTAGAAAGGGTTCTTCATATCTCCCCAGGCTCCTGCCTCTAGTTCTGACTTCTAGTTTCTAGAAGATCATCTAGAAACATTTGTTGCTAAGGTTGGTGATATGTGTTAAATTACTTTTTCCATTGTTATTTAGTTAATAAAAACTGAAGATGTTTATAGTACATAAGCCTTTCTTCCTTTCTTCTTTCCTTCCTTCCTCCTTTCTTTCTTTCTTTTTAATTTTTAATTTTTTTTGTTTTTTGTTTGTTTGTTTGTTTGTTTGTTTTTCGAGACAGGGTTTCTCTGTGTAGCCTTGGCTGTCCTGGAACTCACTCTGTAGACCACACTGGCCTCGAACTCAGAAATCTGCCTGCCTCTGCCTTCCAAGTGCTGGGATTAAAGGCGTGCGCCACCACTGCCCGGCTTAATTTTTAATTTTTAAAATAAAAAATTTTGAAGGGTCTTACTCTGAAGTCCAGGCTACCTTGGAACTCATGTAGGTAAGGCTGGCCTCAGATTCATGGTCATTCTCCTGCCTCCACCTCCCAAGTGTTGAAATTACAGGCATAAGCCACCACACCCCACTTGCAAATATATATATTTGTAATACACACATATATGTATATACATATACATATACACATACATATATATATAAATTGTGACTGTTGTTAAGTTGGACACAGTCATGTTCTGTAAGCCTAGGGACACATTCAACGCTTAGGAAACTCTTACCCACCAGGCACTGGTGACAAGCAACAGGCAAATTCTAGGTCTATTCCCCTGGGCCAAGATAAAGGCCAGAGCTCTCTTTGGGTGAAGGAGATTCATATTAAAAAAAAAAAAAAAAAGATTAAGCCAGACAGTGGTGGCCCATACCTTTAATCTCAGCACTGGGAGGCAGAGGCAGGGGAATCTCTTGAGTTCCAGGACAGCCAGAGCTACACAGAGAAACTCTGTCTTGAAAACCTAAAATTAATAAATAAATAAGTTATTTACTTATGATTTGGGGTCAGTGCTCCCCTTCCACTTCTATGTGGGTTCTGCGGGTCCACTCAGCTTCACGATGGGCATCTCGGTGGCTCTGAAGTGGATCCTTCACTGTGCAGACAGAGGAGTATTTTTTTGTTTTCATTTGGTTTTTTAGAATTATTATTTTTTTACACATCTGAATATTTTGCTTTCATGTGTGTACCAAACATATACCTGATGTCTCTGGGGTCCTGGAGAGAGTGTAGAAATCCTTGAAACTGAAAGATGGTTGTGAGCCTCCTTGTGGGTGCTGGAAACTGAATCGGCGTCCTCTGGAAGAGCTGCCAGTGCTCTTAACCAACAAGCCATCTCAAAGGGCAGGCTTCTCTGGAAGGGAAGGGTCACCTCTAGAATAAGAAGCTATCCCCTCTCAGTTGAGCTTGGCTGGGGTTGACTTTGCACGTGGGCCGGGGTGGGGCATCGGGAGACTGAGACCCAGAAGGAGCTTGTCATCCATAGCTGGAGGAATCCTGAGAAGAAGGGACACAGAAGGACAGCTAGGGGAGGGCTGGATCCCACAGTGTCCTAGGGGCAAAGGATAAACTATTCAGGTTTTTCTCTCAGCACCTTAACCACACGCACACGGGGGTGGGAGGTGGGGTGGGGAGCTCTGTGGGAAGATGACGAGTCAGAAAGGGATAAAGTGTGGGAACTCTGCTCAGAAGCAAAGTTCGGTTTGTCTTGCTTGTTTCAATGTTTGAATGAGGTTAGAGAAAAGAGTCTGAACAGTTCCATACTCCAACAAGTCTTCCCAAAGAGTAGAAGGATGGTCTACACTGCCCCAAGTGACAGATGCTGGGAATGGAGCAGATGAGGCAAATGTTGGAAAAGTTGGTGCTTGCCCTGCCTGAGATGAAGAGTGTTAGTTGTGGTCAGTGGAGGGACAGGACAGGCAAGTGACTGTCACAGACCAACCCCTGCCCTTCGTAAGCTGAGAGCCACTGAGCAGTTTTGTGCAGCAGAGTGTGGAATCCAGAGGCAGTTCCTTGTGCCTATGACCATGGGAGGGTCATTCACTCTGGGACCCGGTTTCCACACACTGAAGAGGAAGCTGTGTACCTCCCCCTCTGCGAGCCGCAAGTCTGAGATCCATGGAAAGTGCTTGGCCCGTGTCATCGTGGTATATGATTGCCACATGACTAAGAGAAAAGACTCTAGGCCCCCCACTGCTTGTCAGATCTGACTGTTCTGTGTCCTCTCATGTGACTTTGGGCATACCCTCAGCCACAGTCCCCAAACTGAGGAGAGACAGTTGTACTTGTCTTGTGAGGTTGTTTTAAGTACTAAGCTGTGTGTAGGTAAGCACCCTGCACACAGTGGGTGTTGTGCCAGAGTACTTGGTTGGCTGAATGACTATAGTACTCAAGTGCAGACATTCGAGCTTTGGGCCCCCACACTTGTTTCTAAGGAGTTTCAGTGTTGGGTCTTCAATCCTTAGATTTATGGACCTGGATTGTGGCAGAAGCTAACTGACACGTCATGGGCACTTTATTCAGTGACAGGAGGCAGATACAGGTGGCTGTAGGAGTGGGCACACACTGCACCTCGGGCTCTGAGGCTTGGGTGGTGTTGATGCTGAGATGCAGCCATGATGACCTTTCAACCTGCCAAGTCATTCCAGAAGGAAACTTGGTGTCCTCATAGCCCACCAGGTGAGGAGGACAGTGTTGCCTTCCTTCTGCTGTGCATAGCTCTCTGGAGAAACCATCCCCATACACAGTCACTTCAGCGGATGCTCAGACATGCCGCTAGGAACAGTCAACCACAGTGTCACATGCACCATTGAAGGAAAAAGGAACCAAGCAAAACCACTGGGTCCTTAGACCTGGCTGGCCATCCCCACAGCCTGCTTGCCCAAGTCCAGGCTTGCCTTCCCTTCTCTCCCTGCAGCTGAGGAAAGTGACCCTTCTAGCTCCTCAGAGCCTAGAAGCTGGGGCTGGCATTGTGGGGCTGGATGCCAGACCCAGGCAAAAGGCAGCCTGTGGAAGGGCCAGTGTGGTGTCTATGAAGCCCTAGAGGAAGAACAGGGTGTCAGGAAGGGAGAACGGATGGATGGATGGGCAGTTAGAATCTGCAGTTTCCTTGACAGAGGCCAGAGCGTGAGAGTGGGAAGGAGCCCCATGGCTTTGAGCAGCTTAGCAGTGTCATGTCAGAGTTGAGACCTGGAGACAGGGCTCCAGTGAGGTGACTCAGTAGATCAAAATCTGATGACCTGAGTTCAATCCTCAGGGCCCACACAGCGGAAGGAGTAACTGACTCCCTCCCTGCAAGTTGTCCTCTGACTTCCACAGACATCTATACATACACATACGCACACACGTCTATATACACATGCATGTATATACACATGCATATGTGCACGTCTATACACATATCTATACACATGTGGGTATGCACACACATCTATACACACATGTGTATGCACATACGTCTATATACACATACATATGCACACAGATTTATACACACATATCTAAACACAGATGCATATACACACGTATTATACACACATGAATATGAACACACATGCATATGCACACACAAAGAAAGACTTGGAGTCAGCCATCTCTGAACTCTAGCTCCAGACCCCTTTCTGAGTGGCTTTGGGAAAGTGAT